CCTCACACAGACGAGAAGCCACGTGACACTGAAGCCTGCAGATGGGTTTATTTCACTGAACATCATTGCCTTGGGACGCATCGGTGTCCCTAAAAATGGCCTAAGCTTATCCTTCTTCGTGGTTGCATAGTACTCCACTTGTGCAACGCCCTCTTCTTTCACCACTTATGTGTTCGTGGACAGTGCTGAGCATTTCAGACATTACCTTTGAATTCCTCAGAGCTGAGCATTGAGAAATAAGCAGCGTTTTTCCTAAGAGGAATAAAGGAAGGAAGGAAGGAAGGAAGGAAGGAAGGAAGCACAAGCATTCCATTGTGCAACGCACTGAAACAATGCCAACCTTGCATCCACCCTGTGGAATATTACACAGCCAGGAAAAGAATTCTGCCCTAACACAAGCTTTGCAAACAGATGATTCACCGCACAATGCCGGATACAGCAGACCACACTGTGTAGGATCGCATTTACCTGTGCACATAGTCCAGGCCCATCAGGCGCACGAATGGTGCGGGGCAAACAGCACAGGAGCAGCGGCCCAGGCCTGGCGGCGCACAGCCAGGCCTTCCAGAGCTCGGGAGGCTGGGGCGGGAGGGTCGCTGCTGGGGCTTTGGGGCCAGCACCCCCGAGTGCCCCCGCCCGCTTCCGCCCCTGCACCCCCACGAGGGACCCAGTACACTGAGACAGTTGGAAGGGAGGGCGCGGGGGAGTCGCGGCCCCTCGCCTCGGGAGGCACCGGGAGGCTGAGGCAAGAGGCTCGCCCGCAGCCGGGGCCAGCACCCGCCGGGGCCCCTGCCTGGGTCCCTTCTGGATGGCTTGGCAGCCGGGCCACCAACCGCCACACCTGGGCGGCGCAGCTCTGCCCACAACGGGAAACCGGGCGGCCTAAAATTAGCTCCAGGAAGCGCAGCCGTTGGGCACCCGGCGGAGGATGCACCTCGGAGAGACCTGGGGGTGGGCACGCCTGGAGACCCGAGGCCCCGGGGCGCGGACGCCTCGGACTCCTCAGCCCCTGGAGCGAGAGGGGGCCGGACGGCCGGGACGGGGACACCATCGGCATCACAGGGACGGACCCGGGGCCACAGAGCTGCCTCCTGCGACGGGCTCAGGACGGCAATGGGGAGCCCCGGGGCGGGGTACCCAAGGGCACCTTCTGTGCCGATGAGGAGCAGGGCCAGGGCGCACACCGCTAGCCTCTGGGAAATTCCGCCCAGCTTGGGGGGACCCCGAGAATCTGGGGCCAGACACAGGCTGACACTGAAGAATCAATCCGTGTGGAACTTTGGAAACGTCTAAGGTTTGCCTTCTTCCTCTTCCTCTCCTGCGGACGAGGGGTGCACTGAGACGGGCTCCCACTCTGCAGCCCAGGCTGTCCCTGAGCTCACTTCGTACCCCCGGCTGGTCTTGAACTGCCAGCAATCCTCCCGCCTCAGCCTCTCGAGGGCTGGAATGACGGGCTCGCGCCACCACACCGGGCAGTTTTGGTTGGATTTCAAAGGTCCTCACGGTCCCAAGGTGGGAGCCACTGCGGCTTCCCTTGCAGCGCACTCCCAGGCCTCGTGGGCAGAAGGAGGAAGGAGGGAGGCAGGGAGGGACGGAAGAGGGAGCACAGGAAGGGCCGGGTGTGTGCTGACCTCACGAACTGCAGGGACAGGTGTCCTCGTGGGGGCCCGAAGCTGGC